ACAGTCCTCCATAAAATGTGCTGGACACATCCGAATATTTGGGTTGACGTGTTCTGGAACAGTGTTGTAAATACAACTTAACCACTGATTTCTAGTCGTGTCCATTTTTGGAAGGCCAAACAAAGTAGTTTCGCTTTCACAACGAAACAGCATCACACACCGCGGCCTTGAGTGAGCGGAGGCGGTGGGCTTGAGAACGGCGCGGCCGGCGGATTTCGACGAAGGAGCGTTCGGTGGGCTTGCGGCAACCACATGTGACGACCCCGGACTGGACTCCGCTTCGTCCACGGTGAAAGCCGATCCGGCGATCCACAGCGCAAAGTTGTTGTATTTCCTCAGTGACCAGCACGGATCAGCTCCAGGCATGACGAAGCAGATATTGTCCTCTTTTGGAAGACCAACCAAGTATTTTCGCTTTCACAACAAAACACACAGCGTCTTCATGACATGGCGGCGGCAGCAACAATACTACAGCGAGAATAAAAGTTACGCCTTCTTTCTTTGCGTGAACATTTGGGCGGCGTTATGCAAATCTTCCCACATAGTGAGGTAGACATGTGGGGGCGTGTTAGAACGAGCCGTTTTAGGGGGGCGTGGTTGACTCTTAACTTTTATAAAGAATATCTCTTTGGATTTGAGACTTTAGTCTTTGCAACTTTACAGATCTTCTTTATGCACCAAGAGCTTGTAACACTCCAAAGAGAAAGGAAAAATTGAAATCGCATCATATGACCCCTTTAATAAAAAATATGAGCTGTGCATTTCTACATTTTAGTTGGATTTATAAACTGACACAGGGAGTGATTTCACCACACGCTTGTCCTGATCTCTCTCTCTCTCTCTCGTGCTCTCAGGCATGCAGTGAATATGCTGTCTGCTCTCCCGTTGAGCTGTCTAGACGTTCTGGTATCTGTGCCTCTGGCTCCAGACTCACACCAGATGAATGGAGCCAACATGGATTGTGTGCACAACCTGCTCATGTACATGGAGAGAAAACTGGAGCAGGTGACGAGAGAGTGAAAGAAAATAATAGATTATCATGAATCATCTTTACCTTGATATGTTGAGATCAAATCATTCATTCATCTATAAAACGCACTGTAATTTCCAGACTGTAACTTTCAGCTCCAAACTATCCTGAACTGTGCTGTGAAAGACAGCAGACAAGGAAACTCTATAAGTCTAATTTATGCCTTAAAGAGACTTACAAAATATCAGTCAATACTAATTATTAACAATCGTTTCTTATGCTCACCGAGGCTGCATTTATCTGATCGAAAAATACATAAAATCAGAAATGTTGTGAAATATTATTAGTATTATTTCTGTTGTAATATATTTTAAATTGTAATGTATTCCTGTGATGCAAAGCTGAATTTTCAGCACCATTACGCCAGTCTTCAGTGTCACATGATCCTTCAGAAATCATTCTAATATGCTGATTTGCTGCTCAAGAAACATTTCTGATTATTATCAGTGTTGAAAACATGCTTAATATTTCTATCCTACTTTTTTTTAGGATACTTTGATGAATAGAAAGTTCAAAAGAACATCATTTAACAGCAAAAATCTTTTGTAACATTGTAATAATATAATAATAATTTATGCATCCAAAGTGACTAACAGTGCATTCAGGGTATACATTTTTCACCAGTATGTGTGTTCCCTGGGAATTGAACCCATGACCTTTTGCACTGCTAACGCAATGCAGTTTTATTTATTTTGTTAAAATTTGAAACATTCGGAGCATTTAATTCTAATGATTAGAAAGGATGGAGAAAACTATTTATAACAATTTTTATATCGTTTTTTCGACAATAAAACCTGGTCTTTAATAGGTAACCTCAGAGGGAAACATTATGTTATGCTTGTTATTTGTGACGTTTTCAACACCGTGGCGTTTCACATGCAGGGTGAAAAGGTCAAAGAGAGACTGACCCCTGTGCTGAACTTGCTGACCGAATGCTCCAGAGCTCACAGAGACACAAGACACTACCTCAGACAACAGGCATGACTGCTATTTTACATTATTATCAGCAAACGCACCGTCTAAAAATACTTGTATTGTTTTTTATCAAATTTTATCAATGTTTTTTTGTTTTTATCGAGTGCAGATTCTGCCTCCATTAAGAGATGCCAGCACTAAACCTGAGGAGGGAAAAACCATGAGGAATCGTCTGGTCAGACTGATGACAAACCTGGACACTGAGCTCAAACACTGCGCTGCTGACCTGCTCTTCGTGCTGTGCAAAGAGAGCGGTAATGCACAGAAACACATATTAACCACAAATACCTCTCAAATATTCGGAAAAAGAAAAAAACACATAACAATTGTTAATGTTTTTGCAATTATGCCATCTGAGTTTTTTTGCTTCTCCCATGAAATAAAATATGAAAAAGGTAACTGCAACTTTTTATCTCACAATTATGACTTTTCTTCTTAGAATTGATCATTTGTGTCTCACAGTTCTGAAAAAAAGTCAAAAAGTCACAATTAATTGTTTTCTTTTTTTCTCCATTTTCTTCCCCGTTAAAAAAACATTTTTTCTTAGCAATAAGATTTAATATTATTGTAATATTTAATATTTGATTAGCATTAAGATTTAACAATTTTATTTATTTTTTCATTTTAATAACCTGAACAAACTATAAATAGTTTTGTTCAACGGATGTTAAAGGTTCATTATAGACCCACAGTTGCCAGTAAATACCCTTTATTTTATACTCTAGTGAGGCGTTTCGTGAAGTACACTGGATATGGAAATGCCGCTGGGCTCCTTGCCACCAGAGGCTTGCTAGGAGGTCAAAGGTCAAAGGCCACATCATCAGGCACACAGTACTCCAGCGGTTCGGACTACCTTTTGTTCAACGGATGTTAAAGGTTCATTATAGACCCACAGTTGCCAGTAAATACCCTTTATTTTATACACCTATATAGTGAGGCGTTTCGTGAAGTACACTGGATATGGAAATGCCGCTGGGCTCCTTGCCACCAGAGGCTTGCTAGGAGGTCAAAGGTCAAAGGCCACATCATCAGGCACACAGTACTCCAGCGGTTCGGACTCGGACACCGAGGAGTACCGGCAGATCAAAGACCGAGTGAATCCAGTGACGGGACAGGTGGAGGAGGAGCAGCCTGATCCGATGGAGGGAATGACGGAGGAGGAGAAAGAGGAGGAGGCTCACCGGCTCATCAGTCTTTTTAACAAACTCTCAAAGGACGTTAAACCACTGACTACCCCATACACACATACTGCTTTAATACTCTCATATCTTTTCCTAAACAGGGATAATATGATTCAGCCAATGGCATTGAACGAAGAAGGTCAGCTGGTGCCGCTATCAGAGCTCAGGGACCTTTCAATGGAGGAGACGAAATCAGAGGAAGAACATGATGATCTGGAGAACGTGGAGTAGAATCGGCATAGAAGTGATTACAATTTTAACAGTTTATCACATAACCTCACCTAGACATAACCATTAATTGACGCACAACCAGTCTCAAAAGTTTGGATCAATAAGATTTGTTATACTTTTATTTAGCATGGATGCAATGAATTCATCAAAAGTGACAGTAAAGGTGTTTGTGATGTTACAGAAGATAAAACATTAAAATGCATTACAGTTCAGAAATATTCAGCACAACTGTTCTCAACATTGATCATAATCGGACATATTTCTCAAGCAGCAAATCTGCACATTAGAATGATTTCTGAAGGATCATGTGACACTGAAGACTGGAGTAATTATACTCCAGGATAGGAATAATTATATTTTAAAATATGAATATTAAAATATTCAAAATGACATTAAAATAGAAAACAATTATTTTGAATTGTAATAATATTTCACCATTTTCACAGTAATTCTAATCAAATAAAAGCAGCCTTGGTGGGCTTTTTTAAATTTTTATTAACATTAAAAAAATCTTACCAAACTTTTGAAAGGTAGCGTATATGTATAAATGTGATCCTGGAGCACAAAACCAGTCATAAGGGTCATTTTTTTGAAATTGAGATTTATACATCATCTGAAAGCTTAATAAATAAGTTTTCCATTGATGTATGGTTTGTTAGGATAGCACAATATTTGGTCGAGATACAGCTATTTGAAAATCTGGAATCTGAGGGTACAAACAAATCAAATATTGAGAAAATCATCTTTAAATTTGTCCAGATGAAGTTCTTAGCAATGCATATTACTAATCAAAAATTAAGTTTTGATATATTTACAGTAGGAAATTTACTAAATATCTTCATGGAACATGATCTTTACTTAATATCCTAATGATTTTTGGCATAAAAGAAAAATCTATAATTTTGACCCATACAATGTATTTTTGGCTATTGCTACAAATATACCCCAGCGACTTAAGACTGGTTTTGTGCTGCAGGGTCACAAATAATAAAGACTACATCATAATTATTCAATTAGTCAATGCATTTATGTGTTGTGAAGGACTCCATGTTCTTTAAATGTTCATTTCTTTTCTGTGAATGTAGAACCAGTGGTAAAAGTTAGTTGTATCCGCTAGTGCCCTGAACAGGTGGCAGGACATGTTGTGTGGCCCTGAGAAGCTCCGCCCACAGTGAAATCTCACTGGTGCAAAAATCCCTCTCCACATAGCTGAATATTAAATGTTAAACTTGCATGTGTTTGACTGATTCATTGTATAGAACTGGCTCAAATGATTCACTCAAAAATCTGATATCATGGCTTGCAATCAGGTTTTACTCTTCAAAATCAATATCTTTCAAATGAAATGTTTGGAACAGGGCATAACCACAACAATGTATATTGTAGAATAGAAATGTTCTTGACGTTTCCACGACATTGAAAAACAGGCCTGGGAAAAACATAGAAATCCTTGAAATTTCCAGGTTTTACATGACTGCAATACTAAATGCCAACCTCTTAGTTCATATCAGCTGAAAAGAAAGCTGAAGAAACACGACACGGCAATGGAACCACAGTTCGCATTCAGTTCAGATTACTGTCAAAGATATAACAACAATGAAATTCAGGCCAAGAAAAGACTAAAGAGCATACTGTAAACTGACAACATCATTCACAATATTGTGTAAGAGAACTGTGGTAGTGCAAAACAGACTCGAAACGCACATTAGACTTGGATTTTAGCCGTTTTTAAATGTTTCATTCTTGTTCTTTCATCATAGCACACAACACAAGATCTATTTTAAAACTGACCACACTTGTAAACTTATCTTTGTATTTTTATCTGCAGAATCATTGACAATTCCTTTGTACCATTACTGAAATTCTGCTCTCCAGTATTAGTCCACACACCTTCAATAAATACAATTACCCATGGAGTCACCGCTAAGTAAACTGTTTAAGAAACGGTTTCAATTTAGGAGCCCGGTAAGTGTGCAGTCAAGTCTTTCCTCTTGATCTTTTTAACACAACTCCATCATTTGCTCCAGAGAGAGCTGGAGCTCCACCGACTCCAGTGAAGACGCCCCGTTTGCGACAGCCATCGTCTTCAAATCCTCCAGTGAAGTCAGAATAACCTAAAGAAACCATATAGAGAGTGAATGGGAAAGACGAAAATAAAACATGATACATTTTTTATTTTATTTTACTTATTCAAATTATAACACATTTTATATGCAAAGATATGAAATTTGGTGCAGATGTTGATATTTATATGGTCAAGAAGTAAGATGAAATTGTGACAGCTTGTAATGTAAATCAGTCAGACTTTTATAACAGCATAAAATGCATATAAATCACTCTATATCTCCTAATAGTATGTCTTAGTACGATTTTATTTAAAGGGATAGTTCACCCAAAAATGAAAATTCTGTTATGAATTACTCACCCTCATGTCGTTTCAAACCCGTAAGACCTTCGTTCATCTTCGGAACACAAATGAAGATATTTCTGATGGAATCTGAGAGCTGTCTGACCCTGCATAGACAGCAATGCAACTGAAATGTTCCCAAGTCCAGAAACGTAGCAAGGAGATCTGTAAAATAATCCATGTGACATCAGTGGTTCATCCGCAATTATACGAAGCTACGAGAATACTTTTTTAAAAAACGACTTTATTCAACAATTCGTCTCCTCCGCATCACCCTGGTGCCATTTTGGAGAATATCCGCTGGACGTAAACAGCGTATGCTGTTGCGGAGGAGACGAATTGTTGAATAAAGTCTTTTTTTTTTGCTTTTGCGCACAAAAAGTATTCTCGTAGCTTCGTATAATTGCGGATGAACCACTGATGTCACATGGATTATTTTACAGATCTCCTTGCTACGTTTCTGGACTTGGGAACATTTCAGTTGCGTTGCTGTCTATGGGAGGGCCAGACAGCTCTCAGATTCCATCAGAAATATCTTAATTTGTGTTCCGAAGATGAACGAAGGTCTTACGGGTTTAAAACGACATGAGGGTGAGTAATTCATAACAGAATTTTCATTTTTGGGTGAACTAACCCTTTAATGCAACAATTTTACAATTATACTATAGGCATTTTACTTACTATAAATGTGTGATCTATCAATCAGATGACAGACATCATGTACTAGATTATGTACGACATGTTTTAATCATGTCGATAAATTAGAGGCCTTAGAAATCTGCATATGATACAGTAGGGCTTATGGCTTATATTAAATATCTAAATATTACAAATATATATTTCAAATATTAAAATAAAAAAAACTTAATTTGCTCAGTCCTAACCTCTATCATGATGAGTTTCTTCTCCCATGGCTTCATTTTGGGGTCGGGCCACTTCTCTCCCAGAAAGAGGTAAAGAGTGCAGGAAGGAGATTCTCGGCTTGTCTGCATAAACTCCATCAAACCTAAAGGAATGACATCCAGCACACCTTCCAAGTGACCAGTCTAACATACAAGAATCAACTAAATATATGCAATCACCAACAATCAGCCATAACAAATACACAATTTACTATTTCCAATTTAATTTATGAAAAAAAAAAAAAACATGCTACCTGACCCATGTGTCAATTCTGTAAAAAGGCATTTTTCTACCATCTTTGTACTCATGTTCATATATGGAAATAGACTTCTATCATACAACAATTTGATTTTCAAAAATGTATTCAATCAGTAAAATGGCTGGGAGAAATCTGACATTTAAGACCATATAACTCACCTGATATATACTCTTTGAAGAAGTAGATGGCCTCAGGTGTGTTTTTGGAGAGCTCTCTGGTTGTTTGGCTGTTTTCGTGTTTGCACAGACCCCAGTAGATCCTGCTCAATCCCCAACGGTGACCCAAAACCACTCCATCCAATCTCCTGATCTCCAGACCCCCCAGACTGTTCAGAATTGCATTCGTATGCTTGGCCTGGATCTGATCCACAATAACTTCTGGTAGTACAATAGGTAGTAGGACCACTGGTAGATCAGCACTGCCCATGGATTCGTCCCTGTGGGAGTTAACAGGATACTGTTAGGAAACATAACCAGTGGTGCTGATTTGAAGATCAGTGATCAATCAAGTACAAAAATACCAACATGTTTCCCTGATACATCAGTCTGAAACCAGTGTCATTCTCCACCAACTGTTCCTTCACCAGCTTCCCTTTATAATACACCTTAATCTGAAAAAATGTCTCTGTGAGGAAAACATATGAATAGAAATAAAGCTGTGTGAGTAATCAAACACCAGTAATTGATGTGAATATGTGATGATCTTGGGATCCACCTACCCAGTTTTGGCATAGGAATGCTACCCTGATGACCCACACCTTCACCATCAGGTTGATTCGCAGCCATCGCCCCGTCAGGTGGCGAAATCTGCTCCAAAACACCAACACCACCCTCAGGTGAAGAAAAGGGCGCATGAGTATCCATTATCTGATAATGGAGCTCGGTATACTGGGATTCTGGACATGGACTGGTTTCTTGGAAGAGTCCTTGATCTTCGAGCCCCAGATATAACGGATCTGGATTCCAAACTTCATGAACTGGAACAAAAATGAAAAGGCTGTACACATACACAATACACTGCCCTTTAAATCATTATATACGTGTCTTATGCTCACCAGTGCTGCACTTATTACATAAAGTAAAAACAGTTTAAAAGAATTGTTTTCCATTTGAATATATCTTTAAGTGTAATTTATTAAAGCAATAAGCCCTGTGACCTTAGCTGTTATAAATTCACTGTAAACCACGGCTTCACGGGCTTATTGCTTTTATAAAACAGTTATCATCGGTCATCAGCATCGTAAATCCTCGAAGGTTTTTCATATATATTTTTGTTTTAAATGTATGTACATTTATAACACTATTCTTTGTATTATAACACCTTTGCATAAAATTACAAAAAACCGGTTAACGCTAATGCGAGGGTGTTTCTAATGCAGCGTCTACGGGAGGGACGGTAAGTTTGACATCGTTCTCTCTTCTGACTGCCGTTATCAGTCTCACTCAATTTTTTTCCTTTTATTGAAAGTCATGAAAACACTATCATGGAGTTTTTATTTTGCTATTTGAGCAACTGGGAATACAAAACA